TGCTCTCCATAGGGTTTTCAGTAGCTAGTTCCTCTGAAGTAGACATCCTATTCCTTCTTTTTAGTCTGCTCTTAGTCAGAAGCTCTGCTGGAATCTCTTCACTTTGGGTAACCTTGCTGGTGTGTGAAAAACCAGCGACATCGTTTCAGTCTCACAGCAAAACACAAACCACCACAGTACGTATTCTCAAATGCCAGACAAGTGGTGTGCCTGTACTGCATCCGCTGCAGCTTTCCCGGCGAAACAGTGCCATCTTGTGGCATTTCCCCTCTCCTCAGGGTGGTGGTAAGATTACTAGCAAAATAAAAATCGTGTTAGCGGCTAACTTTATAATGGCAAAGATAATTTTGTTAAAAGCAATTCAGTAAGTAACATTTTGAGGATCATAACTATACGTCTAAACGGGGTAGGGGTGGTGGAAATCCTAGTGTAATGTGAATAAAAGCTTTTCAGGATAAAATGTCCAGGGAGAACCCTTTGGGAATTTACAAAGTTACTGTTCTTACACAACTTAAGACACCGATAGGAATGATTGTTGTTGCTATTAGTTGCACCGGAATAAATTCCAGCCCCGTCTTTGGAGAGGAAACCTGCTCCATAGAGTTTTCAGTGGCTGTGATCTTGGGAAAGCAGATGGGCAGGCCTATCTTCCAAGACACCTCGAGGTGGGCTTGAATTTGGAACCTCTTGAGTTGGTATCTGGCACTTAACCACTCCATAACTCAGATGGAGGTGAATAAAGAACTTATGTAATTCTATTTCATATAGATCCTACAGTTCAACAGTCATGTGTTTAAAATATGTTTACTATATTTACAACTGCTTCTCAACATTTGCTGTTTAAGACTTCATTTTACAAATTTGGACATATTACCAGAGGAACCAGTCCCTGGAGAGGTACATTATCCTTAGCAGAAAAAGGGGAAGACTCTCAGCAAGCTGGATCCACATGCTAGCTGCAACAGTTACTGCAATGATTGTGAGGCTGGCCCGGAACTGGACAGTGTTTTATTTTGTTGTACATTGGGGTACTGTGAGCCAGCACTGACTCAACAGCACCCAGCAACAACAACAAGATGAATTGTTTTGTGTCATTTTTACAATGGTTTTATGAAGCAAGAATTATTGATGTCTCAGTTTTACAGATGGGGTCATATATCAGGAGGCAAGCAGAACTGAGAGAGATTCATTTAGCAGTCTGATTCCTGTCTCGGACTCGTCATCTCTGTGTTGTAATGCCTACCTGGCTTGTAGTG